TCCCCGATATCTTTCAAAAAAAAAAAAACTTGCTGTACTAATTATTTGTTGCTTGGTTTAAATAAAAAAAGTTTAATTCTTTTTAAATAAAATTTTGAATTTGAATTCTATAAATGTAAAAATAGGTGTTAAGAGAACTTCTTTATATGGATTTGATACTTATAGGATTTAACTAAGTTTAATTTTAAATTAGTAAGGTTTCATTGTAACTTTTGAATACTAAGAGTTAATTAAAAAAAAAAAAAAGCCTCCTACGTATCTATGTTGTTTGCCAAAAATACCATCAAATAACAAAAGATCAACAAATAAAGGCTCCTGGTGGTAAAAATAAATAAATAAATAAAGGCTCTTAAAAAATGTATTAATTTTCATATGATCTCTAAACTTCTAAAATTTCAAACAAAACAAATGAAAAAGAACAATGATAGTTAGGACAAGATACAAAATTAAAAATGAGTTTATGGTAGTAATTAATTATAATGTGTATCTATTATGAACCTATATGATTAACAATTAAAAAAATTTCATTGTTAAATATGTTTTAAAATTTAATTCTAAGAATCATTGGTCCATAAAAAATGTTATAAAATTTAAACTAATTTCTTACCTTAAGAGAAAGAACTTCGTATTTGAAAAGGTTCCTTCTCCATAGTTCTTATCTTCATTTTCATTACCATGAAATTTGTAAAAAGCGTCACCTTTACCCCGAAGAGAGCATTGGACAAAGCCAAAATTTTGACGTGGGTTTTATACCCAAAATGTCAACTTGGATCCAACAGAAAGGGCAAATTGGATTGCGAAAATCTCACTCAGTGGCAGCGGCGGAGCCTAGATTTTATTTTAGAGAGGGGCAACTATTATTAAAAAAGAAAAACAATTGGAAAATCAAATTTCATATTTGACTTGTGAACAGTTGAAGAAGATCAAGTTTTCCACACTTATAAATGAGACTAAAGCTTACATACGTGAAAATTGAAATTATTTGCAGCAGAAAAATGATTAAAATTCATGTCGTATCTAAATTTTAGTTAAAACAAAATCATTATTAGAACATATTGATATATACAACCAATCAAAAAAGATGTAAGAAATTGGCATATCAAATTCTAATTATTTGTATGGTGTAGCCCTTAAAAGCAACTCACATTGCACAAATCTTCAATAATCAAGCAGCATTATAATCAACCATATTGTGTAATCAAAAGCAACTCACATTACACAAATTTTCAATAATCAAACAGCATCATAATCAACCATATTGTGTAATTAAAGATATTCTATAAAATTAAAACTTTAATTTCAGAGCTAAATAAACAGAAAAAAAAAAAAAGAAAGAAAAGAAAATCAATCTATGGAACCCAGATAAGAAATAAATGTTAAAACTGAAAAACACACAAATCCATGTACAGTCCCACAAGAAATTCATCAAAACAAAAATGAAAGAAGAAATAATCAACTTCACAATGGAATTTACCTCTATGTATGGAATATTGGAAATGGTTCCGGAGAATGGATCAACAAAGTGGGAGAAATGCCCACGAAATGAAAGAGGATTTACTATGTAGTTCCCTTCGATTAATCTGTTTGAAGGGAATGCTAACAAACATTGGCAAGGTGGAGTAATTAACTCTTTTTATAGGCAAACTTGTCTAAGATTGCTATGAATTACTGTATGGTTAAACTTAATAAATGGTCTATTAACTATATAGTTCTTATCAATTTAGTCCAGAAACAAATTTCCTTTCCAAAGTGGTCTACAAGCAAGTACCAATTCCATGTTAAAATGGGCCATTTAGCAAACTTCCGCTGTCAGAAATCCACACTGACTGGAAACGAGGTTCCACATTATTTGCCACATACATGCCACATGCCTCATGCCACGTTATTAAAATATTAGATTTTACTCTTTGGTTTAAAAATAACTTATTAATTCAAAATTTGTTTTATATTAATATTTTTT